TCTTGGCCTTTAGCACATAGTTAGACCGCCCTCAACTTACACATGTAATATGTTTCCATATATAACAAACAAACAAACAAACAATCCAACAACAACAGGCAAACGACTAAGCAAGTCTACTTGCCTAAAAACATACCATGGCATATCCACGTCCTATAAACATATGACACATATTGCAATATATATTATAGTGAGAAAACTCACATGTTTGAAAATATGAATAAAAACAAGAATACACATGTTAACCCGAAAAGTCGGTCTCACAAACCACCTAGACATCAAAAAAAGGTCAAACCTCGGTCGAAAAGTCAACCCCTAATGTTTGGCCCAAAGTCAAACTTGGTCAAAAAAATAAAAAAAAAACAAAAAACAAAGAAAAGCCCATTTCTCAAAAGTCGGAGGCGCACAATGCTTGATCGGGGTGCCTCGCGTCCAGGAAAACGACAAAATAGTAAGGACTCAGCTAAAAAATCAGATGTGTCCAGAAAACTCAAAAGCGCCCTGGCGCCCTTTGTACACGCGCCACGTCTTTCCAAAACTCCGAATATTTTTCAACTTATTTTATTAAGTCCATGCTTCCAACTCTCAAATTTGGATGTACTTGATGTCTAAATGGATAAAGTTTCCAACTTTATCCATTAAGACATCCCAAACAAACTAGATCTAAAACCCTAATCCATAAAATGTCTAAGATTGCATTTTTCTTCTAGCATGGAAGCACTCAAAGCTCCACCCAAAAGATTAGTCTGAAATATAACATGATTTTAATACCATGGAATCCAAACTCTATAGACCATGCCAAGAAGGGACCAAAACATCAATAAATTGGACTAAAACACCAAAAGCTCATGGATATAAAGATGAAACCCAATAAAGCTTGAATCTTTAAGACATACCAAGGTCCAGAAGATTAATGAGGGCTGATCTATTCAGTTGCAAAGCTTCAATCCCAAGTCTTTCAAGAACACTTCATTATATAGCCACAAAACACCATAAAATGGATGAGAGGAGAGAGGATGAACTCAAAACTATGAAAAGAAGGCTGGGGTTTCTCAAATATCCTTCTAGGGTTCATGGAGGCTGAGAATGACCAAACCTTAGGGGTTAATGTCCCTTAAATAGTCCCCAAACTGTAACATCCTAATTTTCAAGGCCAAAAATTCCAATTTAATTAAGTAACTCATAAAATAGTTTACCAAAAACCCTTGCCAATGTCATAATAATTTATAAAACTGTAACAACGTATCTCAAAACCATAACATCACTAGTAATAAAAATCAGAGTACAATCCCAGAAAACTCGATGCGGAATCATGTGTGAGTGTGATGTGCCGCTACCGCGTCGGCTCCTTCCCCTTCGCTGAAGAGGTACCTGAAACAAAACTGAAAACTGTAAGCACGAAGCTTAGTGAGTTCCCCAACCTACCACATACCACATACATATCCACATACTGGGCCCCCGCCCGCTGCATCGGGACTTGCCCGACATCGGACTAGCTCCGGCATCGGGCCCTTCCCGGCATCAAGCCCCGCCTGGCATCGAGGCCCGCTCGGCATACAAATCTGTCTCTCTTAGGCCCCGCCTGTCTCCGGGCCCCGCCCACTCAACACATACAATCATATAACATAGCACATAACGCATAAACTAAACATACTCTATTGAATCCATGTACTAAGGCCTCGCCTATCTTGGGCCCCGCCCCTGTCCTGCTACTAGTGAGTCATGGAACCCCGTCCATTCTCCTGCTAATAATGAGATACGGGCCCCCGCCCACACTCACCTCTCTCCTAACTCGGGCCTCGCCCCTGCTCTGCTACTAATGAGATATGGAACCTCGTCCATACTCTGCTAATGGTGAGATACGGGACCTCGCCCACACTCACCTCCATACCAGGCACATACAAGTATCAGAAAGACAACAAGTATAAACTAACATACAAACATTCCTCAGACTCCCGCCCGGTATCGGACCTTGGTCCGGAATAACATACTAGCATACAGTGCCTAGGTCTAACCTCGGGTCTTCCTACTCATAAACTACATGGGTCGGCATTGTGACCGTAGACCCATTCACACAGTGAGGAGACTCACCTCGCACTGCTGAAGACCTGCTGATGCTCTTCTGGCTGCTAGCTGGCAATCCCCCGGACTGCTGATCCTTCAATTCCCGAACTATCAATACCGCAAAGTAACACTTAGACCACAATATTCCAAAAGTCAATCCATGTCAAAGTCAACGGTCAAAGTCATCCTCCATTTGACTTGACTCGCCGAGTTGGTCTACCAACTCGTCGAGTCCATGCTCCTCCAACCCAATACAACCACCGATCCTACCCGTCGAGTCTAGCAAGAACTCGACGGGTTCTCCTTCAGTCTTACAATCGAGACCATCTTCAACCGACTCGTCGAGTTCATCTCCCTCTTATGAATGTCCAGACTATGACTTGTCGAGTTGTATGAACAACTCGTCGAGTCCATCTTCATAAACTAAGAAGATTGCCTTAGACTCGCCGAGTTCCTCCTTGAACTCGCCGAGTACGATGATCTTCATACCCGCTATGGACCCAGACTGGCTGAGTCCCATACCAACTCAACTCATACCCTTTAACAGAAGGATTTTGGGGCAAGAAAGCAGACTGAATCGCCGAGTCTCATAAGTGACTCGCCGAGTCCCTCTATGTCTCATTCTATATAGATGATTTCTAAGCCAAACAGCTTCTCCCAAAGGTAGATCCAACCTCCTAGAGCATGCTTTCCACGTAAAGTTGCAACCTTTACGTGTGAATAGTTCCCAAAAGCCAAAACTAAGCTACAAGGAAGGGTTTTACTATGGAGGAGGGCTTCAAGTCTTAAAGCTTGAGACTTTAATGCATTAGGGACCTTGGGGAGTCCAGATCTGAAATTGCAACCTTTAGATCGTGCCCCATGCAAGCACTAGCCACAAATGTGCTAGAAAAGGCAATGAGACTCAAGATGAAGGGATCTATCAAATGAATGCTCAAGGTAACAACTTGTTACCTTCTATTAAATTCCAAACTGAAGTAGATGCTGGATCTAAACTCTCCTCCTCGTTCTTTGCTTCCAATCTTCCAAGAAATGCACCACAAAACAACCTTTAGCTTCACAATGCTCAAGAAATGGAGTTGGGTGGCTAGGGTTTCGTTTCTGGACTTGAGGGGGGTAGTAAGGAGGCTGAGGGAATGTTATAATGTTCTTTAAATAGGGAACAAGGCCCGCATTTAGGGTTTTCTCCAAACCTGACCAACTCGTCGAGTCAGTCTTCTGACTCGTCGAGTAGGTCACTTAACCCGCGACCCAATTCGCGATCCTACTCGTCGAGTCACTCCATCTACTCGACGAGTCGCTTCCTCATTTTGAGGTTTTCTTCCCTTTCAAGGTCTTCTGAATTCGGAGTGTTACACAAACCCTAATCAAAACGATCAGTCCATGGGCCAAGGCGTGTCGTGCCCTCTAAATGGACGCCCCACGCCTTTAGGTGAAATCTCAGATTTTTAGATTTTTGTTATTAATTCCTTTAAGCTACGGTCTTCACTTCTACCTTTCTGTGGACTACAAACCCACCAATCAAAGAATGAAAGGACCAAATACACGTAATAAACACAAATGACCAAAGTACTTGAAATTGATCATTGGTTGTCAGAGAAGACAATGGAAGGGAGGAGGGGAAGATGGGAAGAGGGAAGGGGGTGCATGTGTGAGCCTAAATTATTTTGGTAATAAGAAAAGAATGAATTAAATGTAAAAAAAATGAAAAATAATTAGCTAAAATGCATAATAGTCATTATAAGTTTGATAAAAATTAAATTTACCACTAAACCATATCAAATGACTATTTTTTAAAGTTTGAAATATTTTAAGATTTACTCGCAAGAACAACCACAATTATAATTAGGACCAAGTAAAAACCAAAACCGATAACTGAAAAACTGAAACCGAACCCACACTTACGGTTTTGGGTTTAGATTTTTAAAAATCGAAAAATTCGGTTTGGTATCTATTTGCACACTAAAATCGAACTGAACCGGTATACATATTATTAGTTATTTAATATATTTTTAATAAATATTATACATTTTATTAAATAATTAAAATACCAAAAAAAAAAAAAAAAAAAAAAAAAACTAACCATGCCATTACCATTTAAGTTAGAACAACACTCCTCTTTATCTCACTCTCTCGACATTTCAGACAAGAAGCATGCACTTAAATCGCTAATCTACCGCCTAGTCGATCCATGAAGACGGCGCAAGGAATCGCTAACCTAACCTATCTTCTCTCAATTTCGTAAGGAAGATCGGCCAGGCTCTCGAATCCCGACGCATTAGTAAGTCCTCGCCTTCTCAGGCTCTCGACCTCTCTCTTGAACCCCTGAATCAGAAATCTGATTTGAGTGATTTTTGTTTGCAACTTACAACCTATGAAGCTAAAATCTGTTTGCAACTTACAACTTATGCTGACATTTGATTTGTATTGTATTGTTATGTTTGCTCATTATGATTTCATACAAGCCATGAATGATGAATTTGAAATCTCGATTCTGTTTACTCTGTTAAAACTTGTTTAATTTGATGAAGTTGGTTTTCTGTTGAAATTTGTTTAATCTTTTATGTTAAAGTTTTATCTATTGTGTGTTGCTTAATATGTTGAATCTATTGAAATTTTATGAGGTTGTTTAGACTAGTTTTTAGTGTTTTTGTTTGGTATTAAATTTGGCTGAATTTGTTTATCTTATTTAGAGTTGCTAATATGGGTTAAAACCCAAAACACATCAACTCATGGGTTGAACCCGAAAAACCGACCCAAGAATTTGAATATCGAACTTAACAGATTTCAAAACCTAAAAATCAAACTTATGGATCGGGTTCAGTTTTAGCCCGTTTATGCATTTACTCTTGTTATTATTTTTCAACAAAGTTACATTATTCTTTTAGAAAAAAATAAAATAAAATAAAATTGTATTTCGAAATTCGCCGGTTCCCCACATTACATCGTCTCACTCTCCGGTTCCCATTTTGAAATCATTCACACACCCCAACTTCAACCAGGTGCTGCTTCAGAGCGAGAGGAGATAAATTTCGAAGATCACCTCTTTTTACCACAAATCTAGCCAAGATGAGTACCATGAAGTTTTGCCGAGAATGGTAACTATAGTTCTTCTATGATCATTTTGTCATTGATCTTAATTCAAGTCGCAATATTCGTTCCCACACATGAACACCAACTGTTTGTGTAAATGTCTGAGTTTGTTTTTTTTAACAATTTGAACTCGCAGCAACAACATTCTCTACCCTAGAGAAGATAAAGACCAAAAGATCCTCCTCTATGCTTGCCGCAACTGCGATCATCAGGTGACATGCAACTACCTTTTGCAAACCCTAATATTTTTCGCGTATGTCCTACACGTTGTATCTTTTGTAACTTAAACAAGTCGAAAAAAACTTTTTGTTAGAAACCCTAAAAATGTTTATCAGTCTTGAAAGGCGTTTCAGAAAGAAGTTGAATTTTCGAGCTGAAACTGTTTCCTTTGCATAATCAAAACTTATAGCGAGTTATGAAACCCCAAGACATTAAACTGTATGACTAGTACAAGAATAAACACAAAAACGGCAACGATTCCCCTTTCTAATCTCTTCAAAGTTCATTCAGATTACTAATTAAAAATTAAAAATTAAAAATTAAAAACAGGAGGTTGCAGATAACAATTGTGTGTACAGAAATGAGGTACACCATACAGTTGGGGAGAGAACTCAAGTCTTGCAGGATGTTGCTGCTGATCCAACTCTTCCCCGCACTAAAGCAGTTAGATGTGCTCAATGTGGTCATGGAGAGGCTGTTTTCTTCCAGGTATTAACATTAACAAACACTTTTTTTCTTTTTTCCTTTTTTTAAACTCAACAGTATATGCCCTTTCTTACTAAGGTGTTGTTTCTTTTTGATTCAATAGAAAGACTTAATGTGAACATAACTTAAATCTTGATAGAGAAAAGTTATTTACAAATAGCTGCTGATGGTGTTTTTTGTTTATTATATGTCAGGCAACTGCAAGAGGGGAAGAAGGTATGACATTGTTTTTCGTGTGCTGCAATCCCAACTGTGGCCATAGGTGGAGGGATTGAGAGAAGAAATCAGTATGAGTTTTAAAGGTTTTTTTGGAACCAAACTTATGATTGATTGGAAAATGTGGATGAAAATTTGTGACATTTTTAAGTGTGATCCTAATCCTAATGATGACTAATGTATGATTAGGAGGAATGTGAGTGAGTTTGAATCACTTCATCTGTGAAATGGTGTTGAAAAGTTAAAGTTAGTTTGCTTTAATCATAACCTGTTTTAGTAGAGTCTGAATCACTTTAACCAGATTGTGTGAGGAAAATGAAATGTGAGCACTCGACAAAAATCACTAAACAACGTTTATTTTTCGGGTTTTTTCAGCTAAATCATATCATGGGTATTAAAACTAAAACTTTGCAATATGCTGTATACTTTTATGAATAATAATAATAGTAATAGTAGAAATGTAACTGTATTTCCTCAAAAATAATAGCAACATTTATAGTTTGTGATGATGATGATGTTCCCAGTCTAGTCTGTTAAGGTCTAAGAAGAACCTAAAGGAGGTTAGTTGATAAGTGGTGAAGCTAGAAAGAAGATAGATTAAAGGTTTTGTTGGTTAGTTTATAAGTAAGTTGGGTTTTGTTCTTCTGGTTAGAAGCTCCCTTAATATTTTGTATTGGTGAAGGTTGTGATGGGATCATGGGAACATACATACATACATACATACATCATATTCGGATTGTATAATCAACAAACCAATGTGTATTGTCACTTGACATTTGACAATAATACTAAGTAACCATGAGCATGACCACCATTAATGGTGTATTATTTAGTAGTATTAATATGAACATTGCATTGCATTTGGCAACGGTTTGTAAGTATGAATATGTACCGTACCTTGCATTATTGTTTCATCTTCTATATTCATTATTTAATGGTGAAGCTTCTTTGGTTGTTAGGAGTTGGAATATGTTTTTTTTATCTTCTATGTTCAATCTAATTGGTGTTGAATGTAATCGGCAATACACATACACTAACCAAAGAATAACCATGCTATGCTATATCATAACAATTGCCAAATCGTACACTAACAGTAGCAGTTGGCAATACAAGAACCATAACCACCCACTATAAATACCTATCAACCAAAAAAACAGTGGTGAACATAACACAAACCAACCATAAACTAACATCATCCACAATACCACCTTATTGAATCAAATAAACTTTGCAAAGTCAAACAAACTATTGTTGATGTTTTTTTTCAACTTGCTTTGTAAATTTACTATACATGGAGCTTTTTCATAATATAATGATATTTAATTCAATTACATAACTTTTTCACTTGTGTGGGATCATCACGTGTTAAAATAGACATATTACCAAGAATATTATATAAGCCTCTAATAAGGACTATAATTG